ATGCACTTGCTCAGCAAAGAGACCAAAGAGCAGCCTCCAAACATATTCATATTCCCTGGATTGAAAACATGCAGCTCCCTCTCATTTGCCTCCCCCCCTAACTGCTTATTCTCGGTTCTGTCTCCTCTTCCTGTCATTCCCCCTTCTGGGTTCCCTCCGTCGTTCCATCAAACGTTCCGTTTCCCAACAGATGTGGCTTAAAAACCTCCTCCGTCAGCCCTTTTTCACGACAGCATCACCCGCATTCAAATGAAGGCCAGAGACAGGGAGGAAACGGCGTCTCGAGTACAGGCGTGCTCACAAATGCCTGTAATCAGACACGATGACAGCCCGACGGGCTCACAGACAGGATAAATATGCACAACTGTATATTAACAGGTGCTGCGACACACTGGATTGTCGAGTCGACAAGGTACAAATTCAGATGGTGCCGATCCGAGACAAACATGCAGAGGTGAACAGGCAGCATGTCCGCAAAAAAACAGTAAGATTTCACCTGCCCACAAACCAAATCAACATTTGCTCCAACATCTTAGCTCCAGCTGTGGACACATCGGAGCTCTTTTACCCAGTGGCCATTACAGCTCGGGTAAATTCAACCGGTGGACATCTGGCTGTGCAGAGGAGATAACTCTCTGTCTTTAATAGGAGGATTTTAATTGGCTACAGCAGAGCTACATCAAAAACCCAGCAGACCCCTCAAATTCCCAAAGGACTATAAACCCACACTAGTTATGAAATTTCTCCTCCAATAGTCTGCTTCCATGACTTCACGTCTAGCCCGCGTAGACTTTGTAGCTTTTAATTACATTTCACAGCCTGTTAAGTGGGATGTTGTTTGAGTGGAGAGATTACTTCAGGACCGTGCAGTTCACAACAGACCTGGAGAGTCAATAGGTATTGACCCCGGGCAATTAAATTGCAATCGGTTCAACATACAACCCATTCAATGGAGCAAGCGGGGAAGCAAGTACTAGGAAGAAAAGGTGAGAATGAAGAGTGTTTGAGAAAGCTACTTCATTGATCTGTGTGGTTTGAAGGGACTGTATTCAAAGCTCACAGTTGACCACAGGAGCTCCGACTGGTGTGTATTGAATTTCTCCCATGCTGCATGAGAGTGGGCTAATATTAAGCTGACATGCTTGCGAAAAAGAAATCCTATTCTATGTCCATTTTCGTGACTTGTCCCGACGGTGTGCTCCTTAATGTGACATGATTTTCATCCAGGGACATTCTGGCCCTCTCAGGTTCCTCGTCTTCCTCCACTGAGAGTGTGTCGTTAGCGGGTAGTTACCTGATGGGGTAGTCAGCCGCACTGAGATTGATGAAGAAATCCCAGCTCCAGTCCCTCATCGCCAGCAGGTCCGCCATGCTGCGTAGATACATGGTCAGCAAACTGGCCCCCCCCCAGATGGTGGCCATGCGCCAGGGTGTCACCCTCACGTTGGGGTACTGCGTGGCCAGGGCCTGGGCCTGCCTGTGCAGGTAGTTCGAGCGCTGGGAAAAAAAAAACAGAAAAGACAAAAGATTTTAATTTACATGCTAGCGTCAATTTAAAAAGAGGGGTTCCCAGGATCGCCACGCCTCACCTGGTCCACGTGTATGTAGTAGAAATGGGAGGTGTGGTAGATGGCTTTGAAGAGGCGCTGGAACTGACGAGAGGCTCGGCCGTGGATCACTAACACAAACGCGATTCTCACTGGCTTCGATGGGAAGCTCTCCACAGAGTCCTCATCCCACTGGACATTCACGTTGGCTTTACCTACACAGATATAAGGACAGCAATGTGCACAATCTTACATCACATTTTACAAACTTAAATACATTTTCAAAGAAACATGAGAACAAGGAAAAATTAATACACTTCAATATATTATGTTTTTAAACAAGATATCAGAAACCTAATCGGTTCCAGTTTTAAAGTGATATTCATCCTATGAATATAATTAATTTTGGCACAAATCTCCCCTACTTTGATCTGTTTGTGAAGGAAATTCCCAGATTAATTTTCATGAAGGAGGCAGATGATTAAATCATTTAAAAAGTACAAATGATTGTGTTTTAATGAACTGCGGAGTTTGACGGTCAAACCTTTTTTAAATGGATTTTTAGGCCACGCCTAAAATCCAATTTTCACCATATATAAAAGGCCCCACCTTTCATACTAAATTCAGACATAACTAGACTACCTGAGCTAACCGGTCTACTTCCTCAGTGCCATCTGTCTTTTGCTGAGTGCCTAAATCTGGACTGTCGACTTAAAAGAGAAGAAAAACTGGACTTATTTTGTGAAGAGTGTAGTGGAAATAAATCATCACAGCAGATGAGGCACCGCGACAGAGAATAAAACTAAAGTTCCCGGGACACATGTGGCCAAATGCTGCAGCTGTTACAGAACTGCATGTGGACGTACTGGAGTTAAACGCAGAGGAATCAGTTTTTGAAGAGCGTGCAGTGCAAATATTTGAGGCCTTGCACACCTAATCAGAGGACCAGAGTTTTAGGTGACAATGCTCAATGGGGGATTAATGTGGATTCATTAATTAATATTCGACAGGGCTACGATCACAGGGAGTTATGGGTTTTTCCCATTTTCCTGGAGACATCACAGATCAAGGGTTAGCCCGGTACACCGCTGGAACAGTGGGACTAAGCCTCTCCCTCCTGGTTTTGTGCATCGATGAATCCCGACTGGATCATCAGGAGGACACGCCAACCATGAGAATGAGGCTGCACCATTACCAGTGTTGGTAACACAGTCCGAATGGGAAGGGCGACATAAATATTTAACATCTGCTGGGTGTGTTTTTTATTTGATCTTCTGCAGACACACTAAAAGTGTCCAAGAAAAGGGGAGTAATCCTAATTTGTTCTATGATTTTACAGATTTAATTCAATCTCCTTGGCATGACTTTTAATTACTCTTGTTTGTCTGAGTGCTTAAAATAAGGACACTTTTTTTCTCTGATAAAATCAGGATTTTGATTTCATTTTTATGTTGTCATCAGACAGACGGCAACTTCCCCACATCTGCTTGTAATATCCTAACAAGGGAAAGCTAGTATGAATCCAAATGAAATGATACACCCCTTACAGAATAACCCCAAGTGGCCCATCCATTTCTTTTTTGATTTGATTGGAATTTCAACAGTCTTAACCACACGAGCCTCCCTGTAACGAGGATCCTCCCACAGGCAGGAATCCTATAAGCAATTCCACCGGGCCCCTCAGGTCGGAGCCTGTTTTGACAATGCACCATCATTCCTCGCAGCCAGAACTCCCAGAAGATGCCATGGATTTTGCAAAAAATGACAACAATAAGAATTCAAGCACACACTTGAATGCTGTGGTCTTCCAGGCCACTGTCAAATTAAATAATTCCAGAAATCTCTGGAGAGCCACCGAGACCTCATTTATCTTAATGGTGTGGTTTTGTTCCACCCATAACCTCCTTGAAACATACAAACTTAAAAAAAAAAAAGATGAGGGGGAAAAAACATTTTTCGAATTAAGCTTACGTTTATTGTTCTTCTGCAGTGATTTGGCAAGTTATAAATAAAAACTGGATCTCCTTAAGAAAGTTCTGCTACGTCAAGCCTCTCTACATTATCGCAGACGTTGCTTGTCTGTGCCTCTTCAATTATTACGGCTAATGCGCAGAAGAGCCTTATCGGATGTTTGCTCACAAAACGTGTCCGAAGGATATAAAGACTGTAATTTGGAGCTTTGGTTCCCATGAGCCTGTCTATATTGTAAACGCAGAGTAAGCTGAGGGAATACGAACATGGGGGCCGTATAATTCCTGGGGTGGTATGCGAGAAGAAGAAGAAAAAAAAAAAAGGCCTCACCCGGCTCCTCTTTGTCTTTAGCCCAGAGGTTCTGTAATTACAGTCAATTTAAGGACAAGTGTCTTTCTGAGCTGGACTAAGAAGGTCTGATCCCTCCTGTTCAAATGATTTTCTCCATTCAAATTTAAGGGCAAGCGTCCACAACATGGCTCCGCTCAGGTGTTGACAACAAGGTGCGGTTAATGACATGCTCCCTTGGCTCTAATTGACCATCTCCTGTCATTCACTCACGCTTAGCTCTTTTCTGTTTGTGTCTCTCCGTGAGTGTGTGCGCGTACGGTCTGAGGGAAAATCTGCTGTGGCCCGTATTAGATTGAACAGTAATTGGTGGCCAGCTAAGAAGGTTCACTGGTTTGCTCTGCACACGGATAATTGGCCAGTCACTACACAGAGCACTTTGAGGGAGTGCGCGATGCTAGCTAGCTGAACTAATGAGCACTTCTCTGTGTGTGTGTGTGTGTGCGCGCACGCGCGTGTCCGCGCGCTGAAATTTTAGTGTCAATTTAGCCATGTTGTTCATCAGTGGAGGGGCTTTGGTGTCGTATTTTTTTTTTTTTTTGCAGCAGACTATATACCTGAAGAGAGAGCAAGCCTCATCACAGAGAAAAAAAAACAAGAGGCCTCCTCTCAGATTCATCACTCTTCATCATCCTTCCCTTCTCCATCAATCTCTTAAACTGCCTCTCCCTCATCTGCTATCGCCCTGCTTTCTTCCTCCATCATTTTGTGTAACTTCTGGCTCTCACCCACCCTCCATCTTAACTGCTCATGGGAGAGGTTGGAAGAAGAGACTGGCTGGAAGGGCTTGTACCAAATCGCATTAGAGGATGGTCTCTGCGACTTAAAACCATCCATAAAGTGAGGTCTGCTGATAAAAATCACACAGATCAGTAGGATTTATGTGATGTTTTTTTTTTCCTTTTTATGGAAAGCTTTTTTTTATTCACATTTGACAGCAGTGGGACAGAAAATCTATTAATTTGGAGCTAGTTTACCTGTCTACTGCTCAGCTTACTATGAACAGTTTCACATCTCGATGTCTGCATCATGGTCCCAACTGATGCTGTCTAATCCCAGAAGCACAAACTTCAAGACAAATATTTCCAAATGAACTTATCCATCATACGATACTGATACGGTCAACGTTTTTATCGTGGTCAACTCTCGGCTCAGGCGCAGAAGTTTAAATAAACCTAATCTCCTCTGCCCAAATGTTACTGTTGATCATATTCCTTTTGGTTTTCTCGTTACGGCGCAGTTAGTTCAGACGGATCAAGCCCCCCTCGGTGTGTCACACCCAACTACAGGTTTATACTCTGAGACGTGACCCCGGGATATTTTCCATTTTTCATTTCCAAATGAGGCAGCTCTCTACGTAAATCAATATCAATTGTTGACACTGCCAGCATAAATGTGTTTTTCTTATGCACAGATTTGTAATAGGAGCAATTTTAGATCCATCCTGTACAGATCCTCTGGCTATTTAAAAAAAAAAGAAATTGAGTGATGGCTGTAAAATCAATATGGCTTCTAGTACAGCTGGGTGATCTTAATTTTACATCATCTGCTTAATACAGACAGGAGTCATCAAAATATCACGATGCAGTAAATAATAAATAGTTAACTCAAAAATCTCCTTCTGCATCCAAAAAAGAATTGAAATAGCAGGATTGATGTAACAATCTCACTAGGCTGTGAAACAAGCAACCATCTGACTGTATGTTAATAAGTTCTTACATGAATATAAATGGTGGCTGAACATTATTTGGGACTTCATGTTCCTTCATAGTTTTGTAATGATAGATATCAATGATGTAAGTCCACAAATATCAAAGAACAAATAGCTGGCGATGGTCAGAACAACTCAAACTGCCTGGTTTAATATTCCCCCAACCAAATACATCATTCGGTCCACGTAATGCACGGCCAATCAGGCGATCGGGATCTCAACTTCATGTGACTTTACCACAAACGTTTGTTACATGATGCCCCTGCGGCCTACTTTTTTTTTGTTTTTCACTGGCAGAGGTCTCTGGTGGAAATAAACATACCACAGACGGCAACAAGTAAAGGATCCGCCGGTGCTTTGGGGTAGGGCTCCTGCGCAGTGACGTGGCAATTGAAAGCCACAGCAGCAGCACATCTGTTCCTGGAGCCAGTGGTGTTGCCACAGTAACCCGTGCAGATAGTTTGGTGGTAACTACCCAGGCTGGATCGCTTACCAACACACAGGCAGAGCGGCTGTTGGAGAACGGATTTATCTCGTATTTAAACACAGTGAAGAGCTCTCTGACCTTGCTCTTCGCTCTGCGTTTGGTTTATTGAAAAATATCGATTAAAGAACTTTTAATCTTCCTTTTAAATCCATATTTTTTTCACTACGATTCCATGGACATAGCACTGGTCAGTCACATCATCGTTAGAAAAGTTAGCATGTGGATCAAAGAGAGTGAACACATTCTTCCCAAATTCAACGACTTCAATACAAAACTAACGCAATTACGAATCCTGCCAAGGCCTCAAGGACAGAATATAGATCAAATCAAATTGGACAATTTGCGGCTAACAAGGTTAAAACTTGAACTGGGAACAAAAGGAGGGAGGAGAGCAAGAGAAAGATAACATGTTGGCAGGCGGCGGGCGGGCAGATGGAGAGAAAGAAGAGTGATTTAATTTAGTTGTCGTGTTGTTACAGGCCAGGGAAAGCCCTTTTAAACGTCTTTTTCTCTTTTGATCAAACTGTCAGCTCGAGTGGGATGTGAGCATCTGCGTGAGATGACGAGAGCTTAGGCCCAACAACACGGACGATGCTTCTGGTTTTGGGAAACAGGAGGCGGGGAAAGTTGCAAAGTCACCGTGGCTCTGCAAGTCACCCGAACACGCGCAAGGTATCGTACCAGAACAGACAGGATGCGTAATGGCTTTCTCCTCCCCTCCTGCTGTCCATTCTGCGTTGGGTACACTCCCATGTGTGCGTTTGTGTGCGCGTGTGTGTGTATGTGATGTTCACTTAAACATGTCGGCTCGCCGATGGCTGCAGCCGCAACAGATTTTGTTTACAGAATCGAGAACCAGTCTGCAGATGTCCATAAATTCTTTTGGGGGGGAAAAGAAACAAAAAAAAAAACTGAAGTGTGTTGGTGTGTGAGTGTGTGTCTGTGCACATCAAAACCAAGGGGAAACGTGTGTTCTCTGGCCAGCTTGACAAAACAAATTAAAGAACCAAATTGGGAGGAAATACAAGCAGCTACCCAATTTTGTCCGACAATTTTCTTCACAAATTGTTCATCAGAACGGAAGACGTTTCTTGGCCTTGATGAAAAATTGCAATTACAAGAACAGGAAATATTTCACCGTGTCCTTAAACCTGACTGTCAGAGTGTTGTCTTTGTGTGCTTAAGGGCATAATGAGAAAATGTCAAATGTCAAAACACAAGATTTTCTTTTCATGATCACTTTTAAGATCCCAGCCTCAAAGGACATTTGATCATTTGCGATAGAGAAATATTGCAAGAGCTGAAAAGAGAGGGGTTTGATTGATTTTTTTCTCGATGTTTTATAGATGTCAAATGAATTTAAAAGATGCACACATGCTTTGGACCCATTGGTAATCAAGTGGGGGATCAGGCAGTGCTGAAATAAATTGGAAATAAGTTTTTTTATTCTTCTCCAAAAATAATTCCATATTCAGAGATATGGGGGATAGAATAAAAATAAACAATTTCTGCACTAGAGGATGAAAATAACTGGCTGTTCTCGAATGATCGGGCTGATACTTTAGGGGAGTGCATCTTCATTAAAAAACATAAAACTTGAATTGAATGGCACATTTAGTTTGAATGGAAAAGACAGACAGCCCGTCCTGTGCATGTCTATGGGAGGGAGGCTGTTTTTCAGAAGAAAGCTTCGTGCATCGGAAGGATATTGAACGGCGAAATAGTAACTCTTTCTCAAATCTGTCGACCAAGGGAAGGTGGAGGCAGCAGATATTAACGACCTCGCTTTATATTTTCAAATCACATTTCTTTTAGACAGAGGAAGCTGGCAGTGATCCTCAGAGGGCTCGTTTTGCAGCCATGCGTCACATTCTGAATGGCAAAGCAGGTGTTGTCTCTAATTCTAATCATTATTCCTGCTCATGAAATTGTAAAAAAATGCTGTAGGGAAGCAATAAAAGATTTAGAGACTAAATGTTTCTCAGGCTCTGAAGACATTTTCATCAACTGCGGACTGATTAACAGACACCTCTGTGACTCCATCCAGTCCACTGAAATAGCTCATAAGCAGCATCAAAGCTGCCTGTTAAAAGGAAGTTTTTCCTTGCCTGTGTCGCCTAGTGCTTGCTCATGGTGGGAATTGTTGGGTTTCTGTAGTTAACTTCAGAGTAGGGTCTGACCTGCTCTGTTTGGAAAGCGCTGTGAGACATCTGTTGTTGTGATGTGGTGCTATATCAATAAAATTGAATTGAATTGAATTGAATCAAACCAGAAACCCACTAGCTTACCTTCAAGGGGGCAGTAGCGAGTGACTTTCTCTGGCATTAGCCGCCCCTCCTTGTGTCTGCAGTAGACCTCGGCGATCTGCTGCCGGCACTCTTTGCTCTTGGCCCGAGACAGGGCCGAGATGGCCTCCTTCCCGCTGATCTCGCACTTGGGCGGCTGGTCGTAGGTCACCTCCAGCGTGGGCGGGGTGGCCTGCTTCCTGTGGAGGTGCTGGTGCCGGTGCTGGGACTGGGCCGGCTGGGCCTGGGAGGCCCGGGGGGGTTGCTGGCGGGGGCCCCTGGCCGCGCCCTGACCGCCGGGGTGGGAGGCGTTGCCGGTGGGCTGGTGGCCCACCGACAGGACCTCGTTGGAGGCGCGGGCCTGGCCCGGGGGGCGGCTCTGCCAGGCCTGCTGCTGGGCGTGGGCCTTCTCCTGCAGGTGGTCCCGCTGCTTACCGCCGCCCCCCCCCCCTCCTCCCGCCGGCTGCCGCTGAGGCTGCGATCGCGCTCCAAAGTTGCTGTTGTCTATGTTCTCAAAGTCTCTGGGCACGGAGTTCTCGTTGTTGCTGTCCACTTTGCTTTTCTCCTTCGGCCGGTGGGAGTAATACCCATCCTGAGGAAAAGTAAACGAGAGAGAGAGAGAAGGGACGCATCGGAGGGGGGGAAACAGAGGGAAGTGGGTAAAGAGAAAAAGAGGAAAGGGGGGTAAACAAACAAGAAAAACAAGATCAGAATTGAGTAAGCGCGGCGCATATCAAGTGTCGGATTAACAATCAATGTGGCGTGTATGAAAGGGGCAGCGCCGCATCGAACCGTGAGGCATGAAATGAAGTAGCGCGGCATCGGATGTGATGACTACAAGGTGAAGACTAACTGGAGGTGATGCAGAGCTGAAGGCACGTCGCTCCGCGCCATCATCAGATTAGCCCCAGTTTTCAATTAAAGTCTCCCTCAAATGGGTGCAACGCTCCGTAAACAGATTACCGAGAGGGGGATGAAGGGCTGGAATATGACTGGATGTTTGTGTTTGTGTATGCACGCCTGTGCCTCCGTGTGTACATTTCCCTTTTCACCCGAGACACACGAGAAACGGGAAGAAATTGTCGCGCCGTGGCGTCTGACTGCACTCCTCGGCTTCCGTGCGTCTGCATTTATGAGACCGTGTGTGTGTGTGTGTGTGTGTGTGTGTGTGAATATCTGAATGCACTCTTTCACTATTTTTCTAGTAGAATAGGCTGAAAGCAAAGCAAGGGCGCACAGGGCACACGGAAAGCAGAAAAAAAGGGCAATGTGTAATAGGGGAGAGCAAAAATGAAGGAGTTCTACTCCCCGGACGGGCTGATGCGCTCAAGTGAAATGTGCAGTGAAGTATCAAACAAAACCCCGAGAATCTGCCTGACTGACACAGCACTGTCACGCACCTACAGCCATGTGAAAGTAATGTCGGTGAAGCCAAATACGCTCACCCTCTTCCGAGTATTCTAAAGACTATTCATCACAACATAAAAAAGAGGAGACAGGCAATAATATTTGATACGAACAACTTAATATGAGGGAGGACACAATTTGTTGGAGGGCTTTTTGTCCACTCTCCTTTAAAGTGCTGATTCCACCATAGAATTTTGCTCACATTTGGATGTGGAATTTGATTGGACCACTGCAACACGCTGATTCATTGTTTTTTTTTTCTGCTGTAGATTTTGGGATGATTGTCCTGTTAACTAATACAGCGTCATCCAATCATTAGCTGTCGGACACATTTGACCGTAGAATACTTTGACATTCAGACTCGGTGACTCACATGGCTTAAAAACAAACCCAAATAATCAATCTCTATCCCCCCAATAATTAGTCTGTTAGCAGAAACTGCCTGACTTACGCTTACACTGCTCCTGCAGTTTTTAATAGACATATCTTGATATTCGCATTTGCATCATTTTAGGAACTTGTTAAATGTTTCCGCAGAATATTTCTCATAACTGCAGATTGAGAGAAGTGTGGGAAGCAATAAAAAAAAAGAGGAAGAATGACCTTCCAAACAGTGCCTGAGAGACCAGATGTGTCTCTCACATTAAAAGAAGAGAGCAGGGAGTGTGTGGTAAGTGCTCGGTAAAGTACAGAGCAGGAAGTCGGAAAGGTGAGAGGCACAAAGAAAGCCAGGCGAGATGCTATTGTGAGCCAGCAGCTCGGTATGGAAATATATTCCCACCCCAACAGCCAGGCCTGTTATCAGCTCATCAGCTTCTCCTTTCTGTAAACACCTTGTACCGGCACAATTACAAAGGTGGCACACTTTCCCACCCAAACAGGCAGAGAGAGGAGAATATTATACAAGAGAAACACAACTCGGTGGAAAAAACAGAGGAACAGCATTCTCATTGTCACCTCACTTGGTAGAAGTGTGATTCCCACTGAACTGGATCCAGTTCAGTGGTGGTGCTCGTCTCTCCTCTGACTGCTCTAAACTCTTTACGGCTTTCCTCCTGCCCTTCACACTTCTATTCACACATCCCGATCCCTCCCCTCTGCTCCTTTCCCAATCATCCCTCATCCTTTCTGCTCCACATCTCACTCCCCCTTTCTCCGATCATCTGCGCCACATTCCGCGTCTCTCACACATCCTCTTCTCCCTCTTCTCGCCGTCTCGCTTCCCTTTTCTTACTCTCGACTCCATCACCGCTACCCGCCTGTCATAACCTCTGTCTGCCTTGTCTCTCCCCGCTTTATTTCCCCCTGCCAGTTTAAACAGAGCGTGTTTGTGTGAATGGCAGAACCTGCTAATCCCGTGTGTAACAGCTGCTTAGGGCAGTGATCACCTAAAAAAGAAATCCCTACTCGCGGAGTTTCAAAGGGGAACGCTTTAGGGGGCTAATCCATGCGGTGCAAGTCACTGGATGTGTGCAGGCAGAGTGAGCCCGTGTGCAGTAGCGATAATGTGTGTAAAGCTCACGCTTGTTGCGGATGTTGTTTCTAAAAGTGTGCGCCGGATGCGTGTTTTTTTGTTTAAGAGCGAAACAGAGTAAAGAAGAAACAGCATGTGTTTGCCCCGGGAGACACTCCTGATTTGACTCCAGCTGTGAGAAGATACGCGGAGATGAGTTACACAGTTTAATTGGGGAAAAAACGCACGGAAAAAAAAACAACCACGCCAGCATGCCCGCCGACTTATCCGCAGACAGATACCACATGCTGGCCAGAGGTGAAACATTAGGGGTTAGATGCAGAAAAAACTGAATAGTTTCACGACTAAAACTTCGCATGAGCCCAACGGTGTCATTCTTTCTGCCAGAGTCACAAGCTGTTTGTGCATGGTTCCCTTTTATACGTCCTAATCGTTCTAGACTTTAGATTTTCTCTCCCATTTTTAGCCAAGAATTAATTCAAATTAGGCTACTTTGACAAAGGAACATTGTTTGCACCAACACTAGACGGAGATTCAATTAACACAACAGAAACCTTTTTTTTCTTAGTAAATCCAAAAAAAGAAATAAGTCTTACTTGGTTTCTCGGTTCTCAAATCAAGAAAAGAATCACAGCTCAATGAAAAAAACAACAAAAGGGGGACCACCTCTACAGGTTGAATGCAAACGACCCTACAGACTGCAAAAAAACAGAAAAAATGTTGATTTTATTGGCAAAAGGTTTTGAAAAGTACTTTTTTTAGTAAAGTCATTAGAATATATTTACTGATAAAAATGGTTTAACTTGGATCATTTGACATCTTAATAGTTTAAGCAAATAGAGCATTATCAGAAACTGTTACGTTGAATGAATCCAATTCATCCGGTCGCCATAGATTTTGATTTGTTACAAATGGGCTGAAACTGATAAGGGGTTAAATCGCCGCATGTGGCCTGAAGTGCAAATTAGAGGCATTTGTAAGCTGGCACTGGGGAGATTCCTCCGGATAAACAATCTTCACACTGTGCTCCCTTCTCCCTCCCCATCTCCCCTCCTCCTGTGAGCAAAGGACTCCAGTCGGCGTGCTGCTCTTTAATCTCGGGGACTGGGCTCTGAGCAGGAAGCGGTGGGGCACGGAATTAATCTCGGTGGCAGCCGGTGGAGATGGGCCTCGCTTAGACTGCAGATGGGACCGGTAGCTGTGGGGAGCAATCGATTGTTACAGGGGGTATGTTTTCCACTCCCTGGGAATGTCAGCGAGTCGAAGCCTGGATTGCCTGGCATGTGGTGAAGTGGTTGTGGAGAAAAACACACACACACAGACACACACACACACACACGCACACACACGCGCCGGGCGATGAGCTCCCTGAGCTGTGCAGAAGTGTGAGGAAAAAGCAGTGGGGGTAAACCAAAAATTCATCCATCACCGGTAGGTACATTTTAGAGAAAGGCCCGAGGAGGCGGGGGTTTCGGCACCCCCTCTGGGGATGGTTTAGTCCATTTCTCAACACTGAGCCGGCCCTTTCTACTTTCCCCTCATTTCCTCTCCCACAGGGGGGAAATATTTCACCTGTCCTTTTTCTCTCTTCCTCTCTCCCCGGCCTGCTGTGCAGCAGAAGAAAAAAAAAAAGCACATATCCCCCCCCCCCCCCCTGCCCCCCCCCCCCCCCCCCCCCCCCCCCAGCCACATCATCCCTCGCTGTAGGTAGAGAAGCAGTTCATCTCCCTCCCCCCCCTCCATCCTCCTCCCTAATGCCATCAATTGCCGCTTCAGTCCCAGGGTAGATGTGAAGAGAGCAAGGTAGCAGCACATATCAGTTTCACCCCCCCCCCCACCAGCCTGTTCCCTTTATAAGACATCATTCCATTCCGGCGGGGGCCACAAACGCCGTCCGTCAGCTGGACGCTGACCGTCAACACAAGCCGGCTTCCGGTCACCAACATCGCTTTGACAAACACGCCTTTACGTACACAATCACATCCCGTAGTCATGTTTATTTAACCCTATAATGCCATATGTATCATATTTCATACATACAGTTTCTGGTTGTCTTTTGGACTTTTTGTATCATAGACATAGACATAGACAACTTTACTGTCATTTTGTGTGTACGGAGTGCACACAAAACGAAATTTCATTGCATACAGCTTAAGACAAGAACGGGATTCAATAATTTAGCAGTCTAATGGCAACAGGGAAAAAGCTGTTGTATGGCCTTGTGGACCTGCAGCGGTAAAATTAAATGGTAAAAGCTTTGCTCAAGACCCTGTTGTACACATACAGATATACCTGATAACAGCCAGTAGAAGTCTACAGACAAATATATTTTTGACTTATTCCACGCTAATTTAATAAAGTTTTTTCTATTTTTTTTCCATCATATTTTGTTGAAGGGCCAAACAAAGACTTCAAACTAAAAGAAATCCAATATTCTTCCTATTTTTCTCGGATCAGGTTTTATAGGGTTAAGAATAAAGTCCATCCTATATACGTACACGTGTGTGTGTGTGTGTGTGTGCTGTGACACAGCATCTGTGTGTGGGCAAGCCCACCGCAGCTATCTGCCCGCCGGGTGGCTAATGAGCTCAGATTAATTATTTGTACCGACTGCCTACAACACTCGAGACCCGGTGTCTGGCACTGTGTGAGACTCAGATCACATCTGCCGTCACACCTGAAGGAAGAAGTCAGCGTGGGAGGAAACCTAA